GATGAACCGTGATACTCGGTTTACCTCTATCTATATACCTCTTTCTTATCCTCGCGCAAGGACAAGCTTTCGACTGTCCCTTTTTCGTGATCCGTGAAAAAAGTACGATTTAATCTCCTGGGCGTTGAAGTTGTTGCTATTAATTCTCTGTACTTTCGGAATGCTGTGCGTGCGATACCGCTTGCAATTACGACACGCGAAGGATACAAAACGATTTTTCAACGTTAAAAATGACTTTCGATTATTACCACGGATTACGGTGTGAAATTTGTACCGTCATTTTATTGTTACGTACTACATTACAATGCAGTGTATTACCAGACGTTGCGTTACTACGCCTTGCGTTATAGCTGATGCTATCGATTATCGATACAGTATGGATATTTAATGATACATCGGTAACATCGTTAAGACATCGTTAAGGCTAATGAGAGCGACCGAGAGTAGAACATCTTCGTACGAGGTAAACCTAATCTAATACAACCCTAATGTTATTAATCGAATCTGTTTAAAGGAGATTTTAATTTTAAAGGAGAATTAGAGTTCGATGATGAGATTGTTCATTGAATTTTGGAGCTTAACGATATTTCACGCGCAACTATTGGTCACGTCCAGGTGAAAAAATGAAACGAATATTCCTGCTCGATGAGATTTTAGAAGAAAGTTTCCCTGTCAGAAATAAAACGCATAAAGCGATATTGCGCGATAAGTTTGTTTGCGGAAAGGGCGACAACGCATACGGTACCAACACGTGTACGTGCACGTAAAGTTGTGTAACGTCGTATCGTTAGCGAAAGCTGCTATCGTCAAAAGTTTTGATAAAACTACTTTATCTGGACAGACTGTGTAAGTTGGTCGGGCGTGAATATATCTAAGGAATACAATGCGCCACGTTTTATATTCTACCCGCGTACGCGGTGTTCAACAACCTACGTCTAACCCGTGTATTATCTTACGAATCCTTGCTTCGCTCGGATATACGAATGTCGAAACAACTAAACTTTCGGAAACTAACGATGTAAAAGATAGCGAGACGAAAAATCTCGCTTGATTCGAGGAGTAAATAGAGTCGCGGAGAAGGTGTCCAACAAGTTACATAAACTTTCTCGATAAGAGCAACTAGGAATCGGTGACTGTTAACGGTAGATGTGACAGGAAACGGCACGATGTCGCAGAAGCTCGAGAACGTCGCAGGAGGCTTTGGCGAAAAATCGCGCGTGATTCATCGAGGAAGCCGATCTGCTCGCGAAACACCGTGACTCATCGGGCAGCTCGGTTTCGAGCCAGCGATCACACTATTTGCCTGATTTTTCCGCGCTGTCCCGTCGCCGTAAACACGCCGAGCAACGGATGGAAGTGTTTCGAGTGTACACGACCTGTATACACGCCCACTGACTGGCCACAATCACCGAACCATTGTCTTCTGTTTTGCTCGAGAGATCTCCCAGAGAGCAACGTTTCCTATCCTACCACCGCTAACGACCGCTGCAAAACGATTTAGCCATCTGGAGTTGGCCAACGTATCGGCGAATTACGGTATTAATGTATCGCCAACTGTCCTGATACAGCGCAGTCCCGTTTTATTGCCACCGTATCGTTCACCGACCCCGTTTCCAAATTTTCGAAAGCAAATTGCTTCATATTTTCCATAGAATGTCTCGCGTTTCAAGAAAACAACCTATCAATATTTTATGTTTCTAATTGCGTTGCAGATCGGATTTTCCACAAATAGAACACACCTTGTTTTTTTTTTTTTTTGTTTTTCCTATATCGCCAGAGAAGTGGAGTCACAGAAATAAAAGTTTATTTCATTCAAATTGACGCAATTAAACTACTATTGCGCGCATATAAGCAGAAAACATTCGCAATGTTTCAACTGCATTTTTCAGTCACCTTTTGTGAATCATATACTAGGTCGCTTTTTATAAAATGTTAATCAACTGCGATTTAAAATGTTGCACACTGCATTTCAAAGCGATAAACGACTTAAACGATTTTCAAAATGAACGAATAGACCACTGGAATGAACAGCCTTATCGCGAGCTCCCTTTCTGTTCCACTCACCGCGATAAAACCATATTTTCAACCACAACAGGAAATTAAAACAAGAACATTAAACCACAAATTGCAGTATATTTTTCCGTTGTTCATTCTTCACGCTTTGACGAATCTGATGGAGTTTAGAAATTTCAAACTTACTTTGAATTTTTGGCGATAGAGGTTTGGCAAGAAAGTTCCCTTTATATGGCCTTTTCTACAGTCTCTTCCGATGCTACAGTCTTAATTAGAGCCAGATATCAGAACTTCGTTATAAATGTGCCGATACTGAAAATTCTGAAGCGAAATATTAAATACCAATGAGAAAGAAGGCCATATATCGAAACTACGTTATAAGTGTGCTAAATCTAAAAATTCCGACGTAAAAGATTAAACGTTTAAGTCACCGATGACAGCAGCCAAAGTGTTCGATTCAACTGACGGCGAAAAAAAAATTATTTACGTGAACGTGATTATTTACATATTTCACACATTCTCGCAGGTTTTGTCTGTACGGATGAATTATTGCTTTACGCACCGTCAGCGTAAAAAACATCAGTGAAATTAGCGTAGTGAACTCTTAAGGCGACAACGAACGACGACGAAATAAATTAAGATTCATCGACACTGTTATATTTAATTTTTATTGAGGTCAGAGTCGCCCCTACAGATTACGAGGCCCCACACAGAAGTCGATACTATTCGAAACATCTATATAATTTCTCTTTTTAAATTCTAGGGGCGACTCTGATCGAGAATCGTTCGAAAAAGCACAATAAGTTATAATGTTATCTCGGTGTTACAACAATAAATACAATGGACAGGTTTTTGTATTGTGATAAAGGAGTACGCTTCGCAGTCTTATCACGATCGACAACAGATTTCGATAAAAATTTCATTGATATTTGTTATCGATTGCAATAAGAAAAATATAAGAACGTAAATATCAGGTTTTCTTTTGTATCGATATTATAATTAATTCAATGCTAACACAATAAATATACTATATTTTACTATACCAGAATATTTAAGTTTATAGTTACTCACAGAATTGAACGCATCTTCATAAAAATCGCAAGCGGAATTAACACAAAATTATATATAAATATGTGCATGATATATGAATTAAAAGAGCACAAGTGTTTTGTCACTCCTGTATATTATTACCTTTATATGTTATCTTAAATACGTATTTTCCCTGCAATTTTCGCGTCTCAATTTTATGAGTAACCGTGCATCAGACACAATAACGAACGTTACCGAACATGACAAGCACAAATAAACACGTATGTACTACACGTGTCACGGTATGATCAAAGAAAGAAATATAAGGGCAACGTGACGCATGTTCATTTTTAATACTACACAAACAGGTAATCCAATTCTATTTCTACGAGTAATCCAACAAATGATAACCTAAAAATTCAATAGACATACTATTTTGGTTTACGGGTCTAACTACTCTGTCTCAACGAATAATATATTTATTGAATCTTCGAAAAACATTTTTGAAGATATCACAATAAATGTCATCAACATGTAAAGGCTCATAATGACAAACGCAATACCACTCGATATGTAACACTACGTAAGAAAATAATAAACGTTACGTCTTTAACAGTTTTTCACGAAAGATAACAATTTACGTTTACGTAAGTTCAAATAAACCGCGTGTACTTTCTCGACTCTTACGTATCGCACGATAAAAATGGATGAAAATAAGAAATTTAATAAACGTAATACAAGTTATATATAACTTGTCATTTTAATAACAAGTCATTTACTTTTAACGTGTATATTTTAGGGTGACCATTAATTTCTTAATTTTGTCAATACCTTTGTTAATCATGCTTAAAAAATTATATTGTATCTTTCTTCTATAACAAATATTCGGTGAAGTAACTGCAGTAGTTAACCTACAATTTATAACACTAAATAGTTAAGTTAGGTCTGCTCGTATTAAAATAGGAATAAGTTAGGTTAAGTTATAAGTGGAATCATATTAGGGTAGGTTAAGTCGGAGAGCAATTAGCGTTACTCAAAATAAATTGTTAAATACTGTATCGAAAGTATCGATTTTGAGAAAGTTATTATTAATCAGCATTTGAAACAGATGCAAAATAATCCTCTTTCAACTCGAATTGAAATATTCAAAATAAAATGCTAGTCATCTTCCAGTATAAACAGGACTGCCACGTACAAACGAATACGAAACTTTGTCATTTTTTTATAAAATGTTCTTGCGACATTTCGTTTATGATAAACTGTTAATAATTAAAATAACTTATTTCCAATAAAGTGTCACACGTTTGAATTAACACATTTTGTCGAACTGCGGAAAAGGATTACGCACAAATGTTGGTTAAAATTTTGTATTTTCACACTAAATTCACCGTGAAAATAAATGGTCACCCTAACACGCGTTCGATCGTTCTCTAACGTTCCTTCGAGTCGATCATTTCGCGTACGAATATCGATATCCTTGACTTACGATCTTTTAACCTTCTCTCAACGACGGACAATTGACACTGTCATCGTGCGGTTGTCAGCGATTTTACACGAAAATACGACATACACAAACGAACAACTATGGAAAAACAGGGCAACGATTCGCGCTCGAATGACAGTATTCCATCCACGCGTTTATTCCGCGACCGTAGCGGACGAAATTTAGAATGACATCGCGCGAATCGATGCAATTCGATTGGTCAGTGACACAGAAAGTCCTGCGATTTACTTTCTCTTCGAAAACAAAAAAGAAAACAAGTCGAACAATTATTAAGAGCGAGACGAAGTAGCGAACCGTATCGAGAGAGCGTCAACCTCGAACAGGGAGGTTAGGGCCATCAAACGAGACGTCGAGGTTAACCTTTCCTTTTTTCCCTTCGTTGATTCCGTTGTCACGGATAATCGTAGCTCGAACGTGAAAATTTCCTTCCAACTAAGCAAAAAAAGAAACTTACCCCATAAACCAGTCCACGGTATCGCGGAGATACTCGGGTAACCTATCCAGCTTGGATGATTTTCAGTTGGATCACCGCTGAGGAAAGTAGCACGAGAGTCGAGAAAACAAAATAAATTCTCTCACTCTCCACTAGCACCAACAGCAGCAGCAGCAGCAGCAGCAGCGGCGCACGTTTCGCGATCTCGTAAAATTTAACATGGCGAAGCTCTATTGTCACCTGTTCCCGTCATGCCTCACTTGCTTGACCCCCCCCTTCGCCCGAAAAATACGACCGATTTATCGCCGCCACCGCGTAACTCTTCTTCGTTAATTCTTATTTGTGTCTGTTCTTTCCTCGATACGCCGTCAATTTATCTCTATCGATTGAAAATCAACGCAGAACACCGCACGACGAGGAAACTCGCGTTAAACAGCACAGCTGATCACCTAACGTTGGAACGAACTCACTCGCACACCCCCGTTTTACTACCTGACTGCAGAGGGTAGTACCTCCCGCGCGTGTTATTCACAGACAGACAGTTCCCGACACGGCCATGGATTATGTGATAGACAGATGGTAAAACATTTTTCGAGTCGGTATTGCTGAACGAGATACGTGCAGGGTTCTATCGATTCTACGGAAGAGCACGTTCGTTCCGCGCAGCTCGACCGAGCTCGACCAGTCGTTTTCCACTTCGTCGGTCATATACGTGGCGGGAAAGAACGAATGAATAGTAGTGACAAATGATAATGTAGTTATTTGTGACAAAACGCTTTAGAAGCTCCAAGAATTCGAGCAGCAAAATTTAGCTCCATTAGTATCATTGGACTACCGCTAGGTGACTTGCATTTAGTATATAAAACTCAGAGTAACGTAAAAAAGAATTCGGAACTCCTCTATGTACTGCGCAAATAAAGTAATAGATAATACTAAGATTTGCAATGCATATATATTTCTGTTAATTACTAAATATTAAAAATATTCTAACATAATTGGTATTCTAGTTTTTAAATCGCGACAAATAATCGATAAATTGTAATTATTCATCAGTGAAATGGCAAAAAGTATTTGGGAATGATTTCCCGCCATAAATTTTTTTTACACCACTGTGTTCTTAGTGAGTAGAACATCTATTCGCGTCAGGTTTCTGTTTTATCGACTTCAATGCTTGCTACTAGATGGCGCCAACAGTATCTTTTTCAAAGCGCGCACTAATATGAAATCAAAAAACCGTAATAAGACAGCACGTGACGACATAAGACGTAATGGTACATTCACGTGCAACGTAGGTTTTCTTTGGATGCATGTGTGAACTTGAAAATGTTCTCGTTTGTCATATTTTTCCTGGAGAAGTCAGATTTGCTTTTGATTGTACAGTTGCCTTATAGGGTTCTGTAATGGAAAACGACGATCTACAAGAGAAATGCATAGTAAATTATCGAGCATAATGATCGCGTGTATTGACGTTCGAGTGCTGTAGCACATGATAGGGCCTCCTTTCTCTACAACACCATTTTTTCTAGAAACTACTGCGCTCGATACAACGCGAGATGATACAATGTAGAATAATGCAGCGCGGAAACAATACATTTTTACATAATAAATGATGATACAACGAGTGGCGATATAACGCGTGGATGTGCAACGCCTAGAGACGCAACAATTGACTATATAGTGCGAGAGGCGGCGCGTGGCGAACCACTTCGTTTCCCGCGATTTACGGACTTCTGCGACCCGTGCGAACTGCGTAGTAAATGTTCCGAGCTTCTATGCATAGTACACAAGGAAATACGAGATATCCTTATAAAATTGATAATTTAGTTATTTGATCGCGTATAGTTTTAGAACCCAACTCCAGAAATGTTCGCACCGGCCCTGCCCCTTCTCCTACACCATCAACGAACTGCACGGTACTACGATCAGTCGGTCGGCGCGGCGCGGCGGGCGGCGGTTTAGTCTGTGTTGATCGTTCGCACGGTTTACATCGCGCGCGTTTCTCGCCGTTGGAGCGTAACCGCCGGCTTCTCGTAGCAATCGGTTATTGGGAACGACAGCCGTCAATTGACGTTTCTTGTGTGTGGGAAACTCGTTGGAGTCTGCGCGAACGACGCGGACGAATCGCGTCGCGTGTACGCGAGCCCGCTGAACTCTCACGTGTGCATTTGAATTTTCGAAAACGAGCAAGTGCCGGGTGGTGCAGGTGTGTTGTTCGGTGCAAAAGGTGGTGCTCGGGCCTGTTCGGTGCATTCTCGTCTTCGAAAACGTTGGCAGAGCCAGCGGAATGTGGCACGAGGTGAGTTAGCAGCCCGCCCGGTTTCGTCGAGACCAGGGACGGATCTTGGCGGGCCCTTTTACATACATCTACGTTTCGCGACATACTCTAATCTCCTACCGTGCTATTAAATTTCGGGACGGAATAATTTGTGTGCTCGTTGGATCATTTGAGAAAGTTCTTCAGTGACCGTTATGATCTTCTACAGTATTTCGATTAAGAAAGTTAATACGATATAATTATAATCGAACGCGTGACATGACAGTGAGATCGACTTAACCATTTCTCTCGTTTTCATGATATATTCTATACGGGTTCTTCAAACGATTATTCGTTACAGAGATCACGTGATCAAAATGTCGAAAAGTTTACGATCTCGTGTATTGAACGTACAACCTATATGTCAGTGTACTTATTATTTGCGTCCGTAGTTTAAAATTTGTAGCTCGTAGGTTAAAAACAGGTTTTATTTGAAACTTGAATCCGTTATTGTAACACGGAGGAAAGTAACGTTCTCATTCGTCGAGATGCGATCGATAAATACGTTACGCGCCAACTGTTTGCTAAAAAAGTTTGAACGATAGTAAGTTCGAACGATACATCGAAACGGACAGCAATATAATCGAAGTGTATCGCGATGGATGCGATAAGTACGTTTGAAATTAACATAATATTATGACATTTTGGAACAATGTTCCATTAACAATTGCAAATTAAATTTATATTTAGATATTTTGATCGTAAATAAGATTATAAATCGAATTCTATGCGTACCTTATAAATTAATTCCTATTATACAGTTAAGTTGAATCAAAATTATATTTAGTTAGCATGAAATATGTATAGACGATGAATTATTTACACGATACGTGAGAGAATAATTGATTAATCGAGATAAAAGGGTCCAAGTTGAAAAGGGTCGAAGAATTCCAGTTATGTGGTTGACTGGCAGATGTTGTTCCAGGCAAATGGTTCACAGTTGGCATAATAATGGGGTCACGTACGAGATTAGCCTGCTCCTTACGTCATTGCCATAACTTTATCCTCTTTGTTATTCCATATCTATGTATGCCAAACTTTGTTCGAATGACCTATTTATTCATTCTTAAGAAGTATACACTTGCAAATTATATACTTTTCTGCAGCCAAGATTACGTGAACGTATATCACTAGCGTATCACACTGTTGATCTTACGAAGCTGGCGGAGGGTGAAACGGTGGTTGTACATGTATTATTAATAGGCTTATCAGTATCATTCCTATCAGAGTTTTTAATTCCAGAAAGACCAGGGTGGAGTATATATTATTAATAGGGTTGTAAGGACTTCTAACCCGGGAAAGACTGTAGGGGTTGGGGTTCTTTCTATTTCAAAGTATCTGAAGTACGTTGCAAAGTATGGGGCAATCTTTACGAATGTAGGGTTATCCAAGTACGTATATGGGGGTCTGCTATTTTCACGCGCAGTAAACCCAGTTTATCATTCGAAGCAAAAACATTGGCATGTCGAAAGATGTCAGGAAAGTCGAGATTGACGGTCCCCCGTGGTTTTCGAAGACTTACGTCGTCCCTGAACGAGGAGCAAGGAGAGGTGGTCTCGCGATTCGTATACGCAGGATATTTTGTACCCGTTACTCCCTCGGACGCATTCCATCTCACGCTGTTGAATCGCAGCGAAGATTAATTTGTCTTTCGGACATTCTAACGTTTGATCGTAGTACGCGTCTTTCTTCCGTTTCCGTTAGAACGCGATTCATCTTCCATTAGCTCCGTCTCTGTTTCGTAACAGAGATGGTTGTCGATCGTCCACTCGTTCGAGAATTCGACGCGTCGACTGCTATAGGGGTCACCGGTGACCGGTATCACGAATTTGGTATATTCAAGTAACCGAACATAGAAACATCAATGTTGTACTTTAATTAAAGAAACAGTTCTATTATAAATAGAACTGCAATTGCGCTACAAATATTTTACGATATACTGACGGGCATCTCAGGGAGATTAACTCGTTCGCTGAAGATTGTGAATAAATTTTCAGATCTACCTGGAATATAGGGGAGTCCAAACAGAATCCAGAAAGCGAAAATTATGTACTTATGCAGCAGAAGTAAAAGAACTTTGCACGTGCCATTAAGGGGGAAAATTGTGTTTGATATTTCTTGTGCGGAGCTCGCCAAGCATTATTCTGTTGTCGACCTTGTCAGGCAATTACGATAATCCATTTTAGGGATTGGAAGTACTTACAATTATATTATCCTTCTTTTCAATTTCAGAGGATCAATTGTGTAATCTGCGAAGTTGTCGACAAGAAAAGACCTTAGCGCATCAGTGTTGTACAACGTTCATTGTCAGTGTTACTAGGTAGTCTACCTGTCGTTTTTCAAAGCTTTCATTAGATAACCCCTCAAGAAACAATAACCCGATATTTTTCTCGTAATTCGCGAATTGTCGAAATTTCGAGCTTGCAAAGAGTGTTTTCGACCCGACAAGGAGAGTTTCTCGATTGGGTTAGCGTAGAACCGAAGAAAAATCCGTTCTGTCAGTCGTAGGTTGAGCCCTGCCGATGAAGGTATACGAAGGTTATGCTGTAGCAAAGGCACTCCTTAGTTCTGGCTCAAGGTCGGACTATTAAGAGGCCAAAGCACACCGACAGGTTTACGTCTCGTCGTTACGAAGAACGGCATACCGCGACAGACTTTCAGTTAGGAAATAGTGAAAACGGCGAAAAGCCGGGGGCACGAATTTCTCACGACGCGAACTCTTCGCTGCTTCTTCCATGCGGTCTATCGATTACGCTGTCATTAATATCGTCCAAATTTTTATGTATCACTTTTTCACAAGTTCATTGCAAGATGTTACATAACTTTGGTATGTCAACCTTTTTCCTATAGTTGCCTCTGATAAAAAATATACTCATTCTTATCAAAGGTATATGTTAATGAAATAACTTTATTTGCAAAACCTTAGGGTTTAAGTCCGCCTACTTGTCTCTTGCTTTACAAAATAAAAAGATGGAAGAAAACCTTTATGACATAACATTATATATGCTGTGAGATCTGGATTGATAAGTGCATAATCGTTCTCCCTCGTTTATATGATCTAATCCCTAGTAATCCAGTCTCGAATGGTCGTATTTATGGTCCTCCGCATTTATCGTTTAGTTCAAGCCCTTTCTAAAACGATAGAGATTTTAGTGTTCGTAAATAAAATTTCGAGTAATTGGATATGCGTTAGTTTTTAGCACAGGAGCTTTACAGAGGATTAATTAGCTGCAGATGTTTATGCATTTACAGAATACTAAAGCGTGTAATACTTGAATTATAGACATAATACGAATAAAAAAATATAGAATAAATTGTTTGAAATTATCGAGAAATAGATAAATTAAAGTAACTTTTTGTCTTCAGGAAGTATTTAATCCGTAGTAACATATCTTTCGCATTTTCGTTGGATTCAAGTTTCTCATTCATACCGATGATACTTATCGAGACAAGTCGTTGGGTTCAATCAATATAATTGCGTAATTCTACTTTGAAACGCTTCTGGGTAACGAGACAGCATTTTTTTAATTATCCGGTTGTGCTTGAACGCTCCACGCTTCTTGTATAAATCCACCAGTAATAGTTTTAAGTAGAAAAGTGAGATATATATACGCATACATAGTTCCTTCCTCCGGTATGGTTTCAGATTTATAAAGTACGCTGGTTATGCGCGCATCTCGTGTTTCCAATAAAACGATGAAAAATCGAGGAAGTAGGAATTTGGCCTTGGATCGAACAACTGGCTCGGCCTTGAATCCTTGCGGGTAACAATATTCCGTGAACGATGACGAATTTCTTAATTACCTTTATGTTCGCACATATTTCCAACTTCTACCTCTACCGCCAGCTGAATAACAGTCGTTTGGGTTTCAGATTTAAACACTATCAGAGTCAGATTTCAGTTTATGACTTCCATCGTAAAATTTCTAGGAGCGTTTTATAAAATTTAAAAGTTCGTAAATTTCCAAGTTTGGAATTGTAATAGACGATTACAGTAAATTATATCGTAATTTATTATAGTACTAGTACAGTCCTGCCATAGATCTCGAGTGGTTACCATAGGCAACCAAAGTTTGAATAATCGCCGAGGATGTTGCCACAATGATTCGTACTTGATCTCGTTCGAGAGCATCGCCGATTCGAGCGTGATTCGTCTCTCGAGACTGTTGCATACTTTCAAAGGCACTGGTCGAAGTGACAAAAAAGGGAGGAAAGCGAACGGGAGAAAGAGAAACGGAAGCAGAATGAAAAGTGATCGCATTAAGGGGCGCAAATGCCAGCAAAACGCCGGGTTACAGAGTCAAGCGATACTCGCGCGGCATGTCGTCGACTTGTGCGGTCGTTCCACGGCAATTTTGTAATTTTCCTTTTTTCGTTGCTCACTTTTGTTCCACGGTGCATCGTTTCCTAGCGCATTTCATTTTCCCATCTTTGATTCGTGGAGCTCAACGAGCGTAAAACGTCAAAGTTCAAAGCGAAATCGCATGGTCCAATTAGTGCGGCAATTCTTCTGTCGAGATGAGCGATCACGAATGTACATTTTAATAACATGCATCGCCGATTTCGTAACAGAAACGTACTCGTACGTGCGATGGTTCGTTGACACAAACGGGATACGTAATTAAGGGTAAAACGGAAAGAAAAATGGTTGTAAATCGTTGCACGACGACGGTTCTTTTTATCCGCGAGTCCCGTGAATTATCTCGGATGCAATATGGCAGAGTCGGTTGGCCGGTTGACTACACTGGCTGAAGTAGCAACGTTGACTTCTTCTGTGGAATCGCGCGGATGGAAGGCCATTCGGTAGAAAAAGAAGTAACGCGAAGGCTCGTCAACGAGAGTGACTCTGTCTGTAAATGATCAGGAGCACGAGGCTGGACAGTTGTTGCCTTTTGAAGCGGCGACGAGTGAGTTGCGAAACCGGCACGACGTCCGCCAGTTACACCGGTCCCGCCGCTATTCTTCTTTAACCCTTTCGCTAC